TACTTACCGGATTTCGCCTCAGCTACGAGATGTCCACGGATGGGTTCTGGCAAAGCTCGTGAAAAGATGTAAAGGATTTGGTTGTCTTGCAGGTTCAGACCTGGTACCTGCAACAACTGATCGACTTCATGAGACAATGCTTCCTCAGTCGTCCAACGCTTTTGGTCAATGGTAGTGAGCTCATCAAAGGCCATATCAGCCGTTGTCTTGTCCAGGAGTCTCTCCTTAATCGTTGTCCCGGAATTCCCGAAGAGTGAAGGTTTTAGCCCACTCACCTATGTCCTTGAAGCCAGCGGCATTAGCTTCAGACAATACCCATTCCTTGGCTGTCTCGCCGAGACATGAGGTAGTGAAAGCCACTTGGCTTTCTGGCTCAACCGGTGCAGTGCTACAATACGTCTGGATTTCCGCAATCCAGAGTAACAAGTGCTATCCTCGCTTTTCATTATAGGTGAAGGGTAATTTCATTGTCACTTTTTCCTTTCTTTTCGGCTTCTCTACCTCCTTGGCTGGTTCTTTCTTGGCGGATTCTTCTTTTTGTTTCTGCCGGTTTCTCAGGTTCCTTCTTGGAACCTTCAGGTTTCTCTGGCGTCACTCTTTTCATTGCATCCTTCATGAGTTTCTCCTGGGGTTCCTTTCTTTCTTCTCCCCTGGCCACCTCTTTATCACCACCTTGTCTTTGCCTTTCACAAGTCTAGTCATTGTCTCGATGTCCCCAATAATCAGGAACGTGATCTCTGATACAATGTCTCGTTTCCAGTAGACGAAGAGAGTGGAGGGGGCAATAGACAGATTAGAAGGTGGAAGAGTAATCATCAATGACCACACAAAAAAACCCAACATTCCCCACTCCTCCGGACTGCCCCTCGCCTCCACATCAGCAAAACAGTATCCAGTAACGAGCCTGACAAATCCTGATCACATTGAAGTGCCACTTGGCACAGTTCTCTCGTGAATGTGTTGAAGACAATTAGCAGTGCACAGTGTCGACATCAACCACAGGTAAGTATCCCGTTCCTCCTCAATCATCCACAGATCCCGATCTCCCTCCGTGTCGCGTCCAGTCACCCAATGTAGACAGCATGGCCAATGGCACATCAGTGATGAAGACAGGTGGCATGCGCCACATCAGCAATGAAGACAAGTGGCATGCGCCACATCAGCAGAGGCTGGCGCTCAGCAGAGAAGGTGCCAGCATGCTGCCTCAGTCCCGCGTCTTCGTCCACAGTGCCAGCGCACAGCCAGCGTCCAGCCAGCGCCTAGATAGCGTCAAGCCAGCATAGCAAGACTGAATGTTGACTCCCTGGAGGCAGGGTCTTATATAGTGATAGACCGAGTTGACCTGCCTCAGGTCTCCCACCCACGATAGCCCAGATTGACTCACAGCTGAGGGCCTGGATCGTTTACAGTTGCAGACTTCCACCTGGTCTGAATGCTGCTGTCTTGGTACCTGCATACAAACAAGTGTGTGTGTCTGACCGGCGGCCTGGGCTGGGTCCAGATTGACTTTGACTGTTGGGCCTCAGGCAGTTGACTGAAGTCAACTGTCGGGCGCACAGACCCTGGGCCAACAAGGGGATTACTCCCCCCCCCCCCTTGGCCTTTGCGGCCTCAGACCGGGGTCGCGGCCTGCGTGTGGCCTGAGGGGCCACTTCACAACATATCAGGCGGGGTATTGCAGAGACGAGGAGGAAGAATGAAGGGGAAGACAATGGTGTAACTTGTGGAACTCTTCGTTGTCTTTGATTCTCTTTCTTCTATTCTACTCTTTATCTCTCTCTCTCGCTTCTTTTAGCAAGTCTTTCATTTCTTGCAATTTGAGTTTGCATTATGAATTAGGTAGTGTCAGAAAGTTTTTTTGTTACCCAAGAGCCTAGCTCAGTGGGTATACCCATGAACTGTTAAAATACAGACCTGTGTTCGAATCCAGATGATGGAACTTGACGAGAAAACCAACTATTAATGAATTGCTTGGGGCCGGTCAGCTCAATGATAATATCTCAAGGCCGTCGCCCTTTTTTGTCCGTTTTTTATTTACTTCACTGAAAATTCAGGCCTCTGTTAACCTTCTTTCGTGTCAAGGGCATGGAGATGACAGTGAAAAATTGCTGAATTAACCAAATGTCATGTGGTTTTTCGTCCCTCCTCCCCCCCTGATATGCGGACCTTATAATCTAGGTTCCATTCTATTCCGGGGAGAAGCAGTTGGGTTCTTTTTCCGCCAGCAAGTTGAATACAACATACAATCGTACACCAACACGTTTGTCTGTTTGAGGCTGAAGGAACCCCTGACTAAGCATTGGTTGCTCCTTTGTGGGCGGATTGACTGTCAGATAAGACATTCTCCTATTTGGATTCCTCGTCCTAGTCTATGGAAGTGTAGGCTGCCAGATAAGCCTTTCTCCTTGAAGAACAAGAATCCCTCGTAGAATTGGATTGCTAAGTAGACTTCCTTTCTGTCTGACGATTGCCCTGTGACAATTGACCCCACTGAAAAACATTTATTTGTTGAGAGTGCTGTCACCCATCCCACCTCTTGTTTTCCCTTCACATTCTGGCGTTTCTCCTCCTGATCGCTGAATCCGGTGCGCTCGAATCTCAAGCTCGCCATCTGTCCGTGGATGTGTGGTAAATGTCTCTTGTGAGGTGGTGTTGTGGTTCTCGTGGTGCTGCACTCTCATTCTCTACCTTTGACTCGTGAGTTGTGCCAGTCCTTCCAACTGAATCATCTTCCATTTGGAGATACCATCCTTCTGTAGGCTAACGACATTGTTGAAACTCGGTTTTGATTGTGTGTTCGGCATGGCTCCGCATTGTTTATGATTGGTAGCTTTGTCTGCCGCGATGCAATCGAGTATTTAGTTGCTGCCCAGACTACCAACGGGCCTAGCTCAGTTGGTACACCCATGAGCCGTTGACGAGAGTTGGAAACCAGATGGAACTAGAATGAACTTCTCCAATCACCTGGGGCAGCTGATATCTCAAGGCCGTAGCCCCTTCAGAAAAAAAACAAAAAAGTTGCTGCTCATACTGTTCCCTTTTTTTTTTTTTTTGGGAGGGGAGGGCGGGGGGTGAGTTGTCCAAAATGATGCTGCACCTTTGTTCCCAGATGGCTCAAAGTGCAATTTTTCTGATCCGGTCGTACCACAACCTTTCGGGCTTCCTGATGGAAGATTAGTCCATAGGAGTTGTAATGGGTGTTTGGGAGATTGAGATGGGAAAGGTGTCCCCTGGAAAAGGTACGAGTACATTAGACCTGTGAAGATCGGGAGTCCAGAATGGCTTATCATGTATCTTGGTTTTTACCAGTTAATGATTGCTTGATATCTGGAGGAAAGATGGTGACCCCAATGGTACTGACCACAGTACAGTTCGATTGGCTCAACAGCGGGAGGGGATCTGTGGTATGCATGGCTCACACACGGGCCCCGTTAGAGCCCGACATCGGATCAGGGGGCATCTAGGGGCGTTCTCTTTATTTTTGGGGTACGTCTGCACTTTTGTGAGTCTTTTTTGCTGTTGTTCTCAGATTGTTTGTCTGTTCTTAGTCCTCTGTTTCAGGTCTTGTCCGTTCTGGACTTGTTGTTTCAACACTTTTGTCCAGACCAGTAGTTGTCTGGATCAGGGGTCGTTTTTCAGGCCCGGCAGCCGAGTAGGCCTGGTACACTTTCTTCTAAGCTGAACCATGTTTTGAAACGGTATTCACCAGTTCGCAGTAGCTGATGCAGATCCCAGGGCTCGATCCCTAGCTCCCCATCTTACCTGTGTACATACCGGTGTCAACCCGTAGATTTGAACCTGCTACCTGTAGGACCGCCAGTGGTAGGTAGGTTTTCGCAGGTCACAGGGTAGAAGGGATTCAAACTGTAGACGTGTAGGGTAAGAGCCTTGACAGTTCAGAGGTCGTAGCTGTAGGCTGCCTGGAGGGTCAAGGTTGTAGCTAAAGAAGGAAGGACAAAGAAGACAGAAGAGAGGAAGGCAATGCGAAAAAAGGTATGGAAAGCACAACGACACAATCCCTTGGCTCATATATCAGGAATTCAAAAAATAATACTGAAACACAGATTCCTGTGATGGACAACTGAGACTTGGGGGTTTCGGGCGATTGCCCAGACTCAGACTTTGGGGGATTATTGTTGGAAGCCATCTATTCATGGTTGACGCCTCCCTCTTATTTTCCCCACCTCATTCGTCTGTGGATTCATTGTCCGCATGGCGGCTATCTTCCACAAGTGAGCCGCCATGCCCATCGTATTCAATTAATGATGGATGTCTGCAGTCAGTCCTGAGTCCCGATGAGTCAGATCTGTGTCTTGCAGTCTCCTGCTGCATTGTAATATCCATTTCTCCTTCGGTCGGTTCTTGGGTTCTGCGCCATGCCTGTCTATTGTCCATAGGCATGCGGCATTATCCATCACTGCCTGATTAGATGTAAGGAAACATCATGAAATATATATCGGGGTTACGGGGTAGAGTTGCTGTTTGAACTGACGGATTAAATACCCCTCCCATTTTTCTCGTCCCTTCAATGCCCACACCCTCCCACAAGTTGTGTGTGTGTGTGTGTGTGTGTGTGTGTGTGTGTGTGTGTGCGCAGTGCATAATGTTTGGATTGACATTGCACAGCGTGCTCTTACATGGAGACGTTGTGCTTCACCAGAAGTATTTCTTGATTGCTTCGGTGAATTCTAACTGTCTGCCAGGACAATTATGAAACCCTTCATAACACACTGTGTGTTTCAAACTAGGGCTCAGCAACGATAGAGGTGAAACAGAGCAGCAAGCTGCCACGGGACGGCTTGAAGAAAGTGTGAGGGTTTTTAACAGATACACACACACAAAAAGGTAGGGAGGGGGAGGGGGGCCGGGGGGGGGGGGGGGGGAGAGAGAGAGAGAGAGAGAGAGAGAGAGAGAGAGGCAGCAGAAGTTTTTGATTGGGATTTTGATATGTGCTGATGCCTTTCTCTTTAATGTCCTTGTGCTGGGACCTGGTATCACAGATTGAGGTGAACAATCCCTGCGTGATCATGACCCAAGACAAAAGCAGGGAATTCCTCCACTCAGGAACTGACAAAGACAAGTTCAAGGTACTTGTATGATGCTTCATCTCCTACTGGCACTCCCTGATCTTAGGACATTTGGGGCAGCTTCTTTGGGTTTCTTGTTGGCATTTCTTTTTGAATTTGTTTTCTTTGCCGTCATCAGCCAGGCTGAGTGGCGGGCATGCCAGCTCTCAAGTAGCTTTGAGAAGTTAGACGTTGCAGTGACTTCTTTCCTCCATTGTTGGCATTTTGTCACTGCTCACTTGTCATCTCTTGAGGCATGAAAGTTTTGTGGACTGGCAACAATCTACCACAATGTTCAAGGGGGAGGGGGTGTATTGGGGTGTTGGTGGGGTTATTTGGGGTCATGTCCCCCCAAATCTTTTTATTATATTTTTCCTTTTGCGGGGTGCCGATGACTGCTGACCGGTAGGTGCCGACAACTGCTGACCGGTCGGCTGGTCGGCAGCTGACCAATCAAGGGGTGCCGACGGTCGGCCTGTGCAACTCTGCTCTGTAGCCGGTTTTGGAGGGCTCCGACTTCTGGTCAATTAGCCACAATGTCATCACCGCTAGCTGAGTTTGAGAACCAAACAGACAAGAGGTCGTTTGGACCCATAGTTTGGTCTTCCGAGAGGTTTATGTATCATAGCTGCCATGCCAGATTATTGTGAGGCGTCCACACGAAGGACAGGATTCTTGTTGTGTATGCCTCTTTTGGAACTTTAAAATCCTTGGCAGTAGGCAGTGGTAGTAGACGAGTGCCATACTGCTTTCCCGCTCTGGGTTTGGTAAGCCTCATGTGTTGTCCGACGAGCGCTTCTAATGGGCAGGTAAAGTGTCTACCCAACGCTCAACACCTGTGAGGTCCTAAAGAAGGAACAGCATGCCTTCAAGTAGCTACGTATTCTCTACCCCTGTTGTTCAGGGGAGCCTGCATCTGTTAGCTTGACAAATACCCTAGCAAACAGCAATAACTCCTCCTCCCAGTCTCACAAGTTGTGGTTTAGTGTGGGACCCATTTCTCTGCTAGGCTGGGCCAATGCTGATGCACTGTTCCTGCATTCCTTAGCCTGGTGACCTGGCCCTAAACCCTCTGCCGTCAACCCTATAAAACACAAGCACCTGTGATGTCTGAAGGCAGAAACCACATGACAAGCTGAGATCTCCCTGCCCCTCTTGTCCAAATGTTACATCTTCGACGCCACACGGGTCCTACCGGACCCGACTTAGGGCTAGAGGGACACATCAGGGCCTAAAGGCCCG